GAGCTTTTTATAGTCACTGGGACCAGTGAAGATACTTAACAAGATATGATCAGAAGCTGGACTGCCAGGGAAGTTCTCGCCATTATGAGCCCACAGGCCTTAGACAAGTCCTTTAGTTCTCTGGGCCTCAGCTTCCTGCATCTGTGAAATGAGGGTGCTAGTGGCACCTACTTCTGAGGATACTCACCGAGTACAAAGATCTTGTTCTCACCGAGACGAGTCTCTGGCTCCTGGAAATGGTCAAGCTGTTACTGGAGGCTGGAGCAGCAGAAGGAAGCCCTGTAAAAACTCCAGATAAGAGGGCCTGTGTTCCCTGGCCAGCCTAGACTCCCTTGGTGGCCTGGAAGCAGCACTATCATTTGGTGGCAGGGAGCCAAGGGCCTGTCTGCACCCAGTCAGGGCAGGTCCGGGTATGTAGGGCCAAATAATTCATGTAGCTCATTGAATAGCTGGTGAGCTGGGAACAAGAATCCCAGTCCTAGCCAGGCGGTGGTGGCGCACACCTTTAACCCCAGCACTTGGAAGGCAGAGGCAGGTGGATCTCTGTGAGTTTGAGCCCAGCCTGGTCTAAAGAATGAGTTCCAGGACAGCCAGAGCTATGTAAAGAAACCCTGTCTCCGAAAAAACAAAAACCAAAACAAACAAGCAAACAAAAAGAATTCCAGTGCTGAGCCCTCTCTCCAAGCACTCCTCCCCCCTGTTCGGTTTTCTGGTCTGAAAGGAGGGGACAGCCAGGCTGGGGACACGGTTTGGATGGTTTCATCTGCATGAAAGCATTCACAGAAGAACTGGCATCCTTTGGTGGCAGGCAGGTGCCTGCTCCAGACACTAAGCCGCCTAGATTTTCCAGCTCTAGCAGTGAGAGGGATATTTAGTCTAGAGGATGGGAGCAAGAGCTTTGGTCTGACAGATAAGTGCTTAAATCCTCCTGTCCCTTGGCTGACGGCGTGGCTTCTTTTTCAGCAAGAAGGGAAGGATACCGTCCACTGCTTGAGGCAGTTGAGTAAGGTGTAAACTATACCGTGTGTTCGGTTAGCACTTGGTCCTGCATATGGCATGGGCTTACTAAATGGCACTTGTCTTCTCTCGGGGAACACTTACTGAGCACTCGGTGGCTGCCAGGCTCTATCTTAAGCCCTGGAGAGATGCTAGAAGCTTGAAGCCCATTGGAGGCGGCAGATAAGCCACAGAGGAGCTCCAGTTTGGAATGAAGGAAGTGCTGTAATGGGGGAAGTGCGGGTGTTGGGGACCTGGGGAGGGAGAGGCCAGCAGGAGACCTTTTGGAGGAGACCTGCTGTCTTAACTGAAATGTGAATGGGCAGCACCAGCTTTGGGGAGGGGGCAGGGCAGGGGAAGTGCTCTAAGCAGCCCTTCTCCAGGCAGGGCTGGAAACAGATGGGTAAGAATATGTAGTCTTCTGCAGTTCTTCCAAGCCAGGGGACAGACCATTTCCTTTGCACTGTGAGCTACAGCCGTGAGTAGAAAACAAGACCCGTGGCTGCCTTTTCTCTCAGGGGGGCCCTGCCCTGGAGAGTTCAGCCTCAATTCTTTTCTGCCTCATCTCTGCTGCTCTATAGTCCTGAAGATCTCCAGGTCTGGGGTGTCCATCTCTGTGGCCCATGGCTCCCATTGCGTTCATTGTGGTCCCGTGCTGGGTTCTGTTGGGGCATGGCTCTCAGCCCAAGAGTGACTCAGGCCCTGGAGAAGTTCCTAACAAGGTGGCCAATGATGTGGGTAGAAGAGAAGCTGCCTGGTAGGGAGGTAGTGGCTAGTATGGAGGCTGTATCTCGGTGCAGAGAATAGCATAGTATTCCTGTGGCAAACACCAGAGTACCGGGCCAAGGACACTGGAATGGGCCACCTGCATAGGTCTTGTCTCCTGACCTCTCCTGCCCCCACACTCCTTCAGCAGGGGCTAAAAATCTGATCTGCCTTGGGAAAGGACTTGGACACATTTTCAAAATAAAGTTGGGAGTACTGTCCAGAGAGGAAGAAGAATAAACAAGCTTTAAAAATGCAAAAGGAAATGTGTTATTTAAACAAACCAAAAAAAGAAAGAAAGTGGAAAAATTATGAGGGAGGACCTCAACTCCCCGGAGTCTCCAGCTGCGGTGGCAGGAGGTCACAGAGACCTCAGGGAACCGGAGACACAGGGTGCATCTGTTGGGGGGGTGACCAATCCAGAGACACAGGGTACATCTGTTGGGGGGGGTGACCAATCCAGAGACACATGGTGCATCTGTTGCGGGGGGGGGGGTGACCAATCCAGATTAAATGTAAATTTAACTAAGAATTAGGATCATGCTCTGTGTGTCACCATGAGGGGTCCACACAGCATTCGGGATGGGAGAGCATTGCAAGGTCTGAGTTCTCCCCCCAGTTGGGGATAGCTCTGCCAGAGTCAGGAAGGAGGGCCTGCTGGATTAGAGACAGTAGCCAGATGGCCTAAGAAAAAAGTCTAAACAAGCAGAGGCCTAGGGGTGACCAAGGTCTGCTCACAGTCAGCTAGGGCCTGGAGCCATAAGGAATGTCTTCTGGGGAGAGAGGGTTTGAGCAAGTCCTGCCAGGATTATACTGGAAGCTGGAGGACCAGAGACCGCCTCCCCCACAGGCAAAGCCAGTGCTGTAAGCAAAGGCACAGGGTGGGAATCCTTGGCTCTTTTGAGAATGGTGACTTCCAAGCCTGTCTAACGTCTGTTTATTTGGTCAGCAGCTTTTCTGAGCTGTAGTTCACATATGACACAGTCCCTCACAGGCTGTGTGTAAATTACAGATTTTTATAACCAAAGCACAATCACTTGCAGTGTAGTTTTAGAATTAATTTCAGAATATATTTATCACCCACAAAGAAACCATACACTTATTAGTAGTCTCTACCTATTCCCCAGTCTTTTAAAAATTATTTTTATTATATTTTTATGTGTGTATTTGTGCACATGCATGTGCAACAGTGCACATATGGAGGTCAGAGGTCAACTTGGAGCCGTCGGGTCGGGTCTCTCCTTTCTACCACGTGGGTCCCAAAGATGGAACTTACACCATCAGACTTGCAGCAAATTCCTTCACATCAGTGGTTCTCACCACGTGGGGTCACGATCCCTTTGGGGGGTCACACAAATATCCTGAATATTAGATACTTATAATTTCTAACAGTAGTAAAATTATAGTTATGAAGTAGCAATGAAAATAATTTTATGGTTGGAACATGAGGAACTGTATAGCGCCACACCTTCTCTATGTACTATGTGCTACAGTACAGTTCGCAAGTCAGTCCAGCAAGGGGCTGGAGATCGAAACACACATACACACACACACACACACACACACACACATCATAGACAGAGACACGGGCCATCCTTGAAACAAGAACGCCAAGAATGCCCCCTTGAATCAAGAATGTCAACTTTATTGTGTTCCAGGGCAGCTTAGGTAGTGTCTCCTTGACCAATGGCCACGCCCTAGTGCTCAGCTGCAAGCCCACCAGAAACCACTCCCCTGTCTCGTGCTCAGAGCAGCTGCAAACACAGGAAAATGAGTTGTTTACAGGAAATTCAGGGTCTGGGAGTCCACAGTCCCCAAAAGAACTGTGCTAAAGGGTCACAGCATTATGAAGGTTGCATGGTGAGCCACCTCGCTGACCCTATTCCCCAGGTCTTACTCAATTGCTAGTATACTTTCTGTCCATATGTGTTTACCTACCCTGTGTGCATTTTTATAAGCAGAATCCTGTGTTGTGTGCCCTTTTGTGTGTGTTTCTCTCTTTTAGCATGTTTTCTTTCTCTTTCTCCTCCCTTCCCTCCTCCTCCTTCTTTTGGAGGAGACTTAAGATGTAGCCCAGGCTGACCTCAAATTCACTTCAGTTTTCCTCCTTAGTATCTCAGGTGCTAGGGTTTCAGATATGCAACCTGACACCTGGTTAGTGTAACATTTTCAAGTCTTCTCTACATTGTAACATAGATCAGTACTTAATTCCCTTTTATCTTTTATTTTATTTTATTTTATTCCTTTTTATCATTAAATTGTATTCTTAGGCCTGGTAAGAGTACTTAATCTCAATAAGTAAGATCCCGGATTCTGCCTCAGCCTGAAAAAACAGTAAGCCTTCCTGTGTAGCTATTATAAGTGGTGTGGGTCTGTCGCCCTTTGTCTCTTCATCAGCTGATGGGCATTTTCTACCTTAGGGCTCTTGTGGCGATGCTTCCATGAACAATCCGTCATTGGAGGAGTAGAGGAAAATGGCTAAGCAGGTGGACCTGCCCATTTCCTGTCTAGTCCGGGGGCTTAGATGGCAATGAAGAGGCCAGACCTCAGGACCCTGTCCCAGCTTCCCTGAGAGCTGAGAAGTGGATGGTGGGGAGGACCGTGAGGGTCTAGTCAGCATCTCCTCTTATTGCCGGGCCTGCATTGTTGTGTCAGGGCCAGCAGCTGTTTCAAGACCGGAAATAGTTTGGGCAGCTGGTATTTTCCCTGGAAATCAGGTGCATTTTGTTTCTGTGTCCTGCCAAAAGCCAAAATTAGTTAAACACACAGAGAGAAGTTAGTTTGTCTGAAAGAAAGTCAACAGGAAGCTGACTGGCCAGAGGAAGGAGGGAGGTTACACAGTCAGTCAAGGCTGGCACGCCGTGTATAGACCTAGGGAAGCTTGTGTGTCTTGCGTAGAGAGGTGGCTTTGCTTATAGGTGAGGCTACAGGTATCTGATCGGTCCCATCTGGCAGATGAGGAAGCAGAGAACCACATTGAAGGGATCTTCCAGTCAGAGATAGATAGGACATTAGAGCCCAGTTCTCTAGTTCTGTGGTCAGTACAGGGTTAGTAAAAACTGACCCTTGACCCTTGGTGCTGGATTTGAGCTCACAGAAGACCTAGTACAAAAAAAAGCGAGAACTCTGCTGTTTTATCCCTCCACCCAAAAGAACACAAAACCCCACCCTGACCCAAAAGGAACACACAAAACAACACTCTAATTACTATCTTCCCTTCTTTCTTTTTTGTCCTCCAGCCAGAAAACATTATGTTGTTAGACAAGACAATCCCCATTCCACACATCAAACTGATTGACTTTGGCCTGGCTCATGAGATAGAAGATGGAGTTGAATTTAAAAACATTTTCGGAACACCGGAATTTGTTGGTGAGTTCTGGGGCTGTTTTTCCTCTCAATCTGACATTGTGGCTGGGGAGAGAGTTCAAACCTGAGTTCAAGCCCCAGAATCCATGTAAGAAAGCCAAGACTAGTTGTTTATACTTGCACTACCAGAGCTAGGACTCACTGGCTAGTTGGCCTAACTACTTGACAGGTTCCAGGCCAGTGAAAGACCCTGTCTCAAAAATTAAAGTGGGTTATATTGAAAGAGTAATAGCCAGGGCTTTCTTCTGGCACACACACACACACACACACACACACACACACGGGGGGGGGGGGGGAATCCCAGGAACAATCCTCATGTCTGGGCTGAGACTGATGCCTTGGGAAACCTGCTGGAAACCGAAGAGGTTGAGAAGAGATTGTCTTACTAGGCCCTAGGTGAGGAGACAGGCATAGGCTTCAAGTGCCCACTGGGACAGAGAGTAGCCAGGTGGGCTTAGAGGCCTTTGTAGAGTTAAACTTTCCTAGAGTTGGCCCCACCATTTACTCTTGAAGGAGTTTATTGTGCAGATTTAAAATCACTTCCCTGCCTTGGTTCCCACAGGAATTCCTCTCTCTAAAGTAGCTTCTGATTCCCTGTAAAGGACAGAGGTATTTATCTGTGATCCACCACCTGCCTCTCCCAGGAACCTCACTCAGACATCGGAGTGGCCAGCTCCCATGAGGCCCTGGCCTTACTGTTTCCCCTCTGTCTGTTTCACCCTGTACTCCAGCCCGTTCTGTTCTACACCCGAAAAATTCCCCTCTGGGCCCTGGTCCAGAGGCTGGAGGATCACAAGGAAATCCTTCTGCAGAGAGGAAAGGGATGAGAGTTGAGAACCAAACCATCATGTATCTATCTTCTTGGGGAATTGAAGTATTTCAGAGATGGAGGGAGCGGCCTCCTGAAAATGCAGCTTGGCTTATTTTCTCCATCAGGTGCCTTGTTCCAAGCCAGACCCTGTCTCAAACAAAACAAAACAAAAACAAACAAGAAAAGACCAGGCACGATTTGAGAGCACTAGATAGAACTTTAGGGCTGGAGAGGTGGCTCCGTGGTTAGAAGTGCAGACCACTTTTGCTGAGGACCCAAATTCAGGTCCCATGGGGCACCCATGGCAGAAGGCTCACAATCATCTCTAACTCCAGCTCCGGAGGACCCAAAACCCTCTTCTGGCCTCTCTGGCACCTGCACTCACATGTACACACCTACACTCAGAATCACACATCTGCACAGAATTAGAGCTAAAGACAAATCATAAAAAATATTCAGTATGTAGTCATGTGGCACAGACCACTCTTAGTAAGATGCAGGGAGGAGGAGATATTGCTGAGTAAAGCACTTGCCATGACTGTGTGACCTGAGTTTGATTCCCGAGAACCCTCTGAAAGCCAGGTGAGGTCATGCATGTCTGTACTCTCTCAGTTCCTACCACAAGATGAGAAGCAGACAGGAGAGTCCCCAGGAGCTGATGGGCCAAGGCTGGAATACACAGGGTAAACACACAACACACACAGACATGAAAACAATTTCCTAGAGAAATGATCATCACCAAAGTGATGTCAAGTTGCTGTGTGAAATTATGTAACCTGGAGTTGGGCATGCTGGTACACACCTATAATCTTAGTAACTGGGAGGTGGAGACAAGAGGGTTTGGAGTTCAAGGCCATGAGAAGCTACACAGGGAGTTTGAGACTAGCCTGTGCTATATAAGATCCTGTCTGGCTGGGCAGTGGTGGTGCGCACCTTTGATCCTAGCACTGAGGGGTGGGGGACGAATAAAATAAATGTCTCTAACTCAGAAATGTAAGACAGGAGGATTATGAGATGGAGTCCAGCATGGGCTTTCCAGTGAGACCTTGGCTCTCAAACTTAAAAAAAAAACTCTAAATATAGGCTCTCAAATTATGCACCTATCTTACTGGACCAGTTGTTAGATTACTTGAGGTCCACACTTAATTTTAATATCATTTTAAAAAATAACACACTTTCATGTGTTCATCAGCAGAAATAATAAAAAAAAAGTATCAATAATGAGAAGCAGAAACCATCCAAGTGATTCTGAGCAGAGACTGCTGGGACACAGAGAGACAGAAAACAGATGAACTATATTACACAGCTCTGAAAATAGCTGTTCATGGATGAAACATGTGAAAACAATCAAAAGAATTTCAAATGCATCCTGGAACCATTTTCATAAAGCTAGAGAAACAAAGCCAGTGTAGGGGTGCCTGTCTGTTGAAGGAGGAGATGTAGGGAGAGGACAGCTGACATACCCCACAGAGGCAGTGGTTTAGATAGTGCTCTGGATAAATAATCTCATCTTTCCCATGCTCCCTTGCCTTAGCAGTTAGCTGGACCTCCCTCCCCTCCTCAGGTACTCCCGTTATTGCCATCTACTTCATACTGTATTCTTAAAGTCGTGGAGAAAGTGGGTGTGACATTCAGCACTGGCTTTTTGGGGCCTAAGTGCTCTCTGGGCAACACGCGATCCTCTTGTGTCGTTAGCAGAGTCTTCCCCCTGCACTCTACCCTCTCTTGGTCACCCACCACATCTTTGGCCCAGATCCTACTTCCACTAGTATATTAATGATTTCAAATCTGATGCTTGGCCCAAGCTCCTCCCCTGCCGTCAGCTGCCCCCTGGCATGTTTAGTGTCCCTTCAGGCTTGTCACCTTACCTCAGTGACCCCTAAAGATGTCCTCGGATGAAGTCACCTGTCGGGCAGGACTCAGAGGAAGACGAAGGCCCTCTCTGCCTTCTTCCCCATCACCCAACCAGCGTGGACCTGTTTGGAGTCTCTGCCCAGCAGGGTTCCTTCCCCACAGCAGGCCTCATCACCAAGCCTCCAAGTCTTCTTCCTGACCCTTCTTCTTCCCACATTTGTCTTCCTTTGTGCCTTCCTTTCCTTCCTCATCAAGGCTGTTCATGAGTGATTTCTCCATATCTAACAGGAAATCATGTCTGTCTCACTTTGGCTGTCTGCTGCAACCAAACGCCTTAGACTGGATAGATTATAAGCAATAGAAACATGTTGATCACAGCTCTGGTGGATGGATGGGAGTCCCAGATGGTGGTATCAGTGAGCCTGGTGTCCGGTGAGGGACTTTTCACATAGATACTAGTGACCTTCTCTATTCCCACATGGAAGGAGGGAACGATCTCCCTGGGGCCTTTTATAAGAGCCTAACTTTATTCCTGAAGGTTCTCTCATGACCCGAGCACCTATAAGGCCCTATCGTCTTCTACTGTTGCCTGAGAATTAGATGTCCACATAGATTCTGTAGGAACACACACAGTCCATAGTAACTCATTTCCTCAACATTCTTACATCCTGGTTATTTCCACCTACTGTTTGAATATTCTCCCCTCCCTATTGGAGATTCAAGATGGAGATACACTGGGCACCAAACACTCTAGAGTTTCCTAGAACCATCTCCTCTTATCTCTACCCCCTCTTGACTCCTTGACATGACTTCTTTCAGCTCCAGAAATCGTGAACTATGAGCCCCTGGGACTGGAGGCCGACATGTGGTAAGTGGTTCCGGGGAACAAAAGGCCTCAGCCCCTGGTGTAGCGGACAGGTCCCCGAGTGTTCAGACCCCTTCCTTATGCTCCTAGTCTGCAATGCTCCAGGAGCAGTAGACATGCAGTCAGGAGGCAATGAGGCTTGGATCCATGGTCATCAGGCGAGAGGCTAAGCAAGTGCAGACCCATTCTGGGCCAGTCTCGGCTGGGGTCTAGATAACAGTGAGCTTCATTGGTCACTCCGTCAAGTGTTCCACCGCAGTATCCCGTGTTTTCCTAGTCATGCTGCTGTGATCAGTTCTTTACGTGTTTTATTTGAACACTGCTTTACAGTTGGCCCAGCTCGTGACTTGGCTTTCTAAGACCCTGCCACCTGTGAGGCTGTTCTTATTATTTATTGTCCTCATTTGATGAGCGATGTGGCCTCAGAGAGAAAGAAAGGGACGTGCTCTGATGACAGAGTCTGCACACGCAGAAGTCAGACCTTGAATTTGGGTCCTTGATTCAGTGTGCAGAAAGCAAAGATTCTAAATACATCCGGGTCTGTTGCAGAGTGGGGTAGGGAGGAGTGGGGCTTCATATGTCATTCAGGGGACTTCTTGGCCCTGTGTGGGGGTTTGAGGGTGGACCCACACAGCTCTGACATGACTGTCCTTTGCAGGAGCATCGGTGTCATCACCTACATCCTGTGAGTATCTCCAGCCTCGGGTGCATGCCTGCTTAGCTCAGGAGGTATGAGAAGGGTCAAGTCCACACAGCACCGGAGGCCAAGTTCTGAGCTCCACTGGTGACAGCCCTGACGGTGCCTGCACCTGCCCCATCTGCCTCTTCTTTTCTCTCTTCTCATCCCCAGGTCCCCTTTCCTCCCTTTCACACTCTCCTTCCTTCTTCCTTTCTCTCTTTATTGTTCCCTTGAGTCTAGTGGCTTAAATCAAGATTTCCCGCCTAGGTGGTTTTTTGTTTTGTTTTGTTTAGTTTTTGCAGACTAGGCCTCATCTGGGACAGGATACTAACGCTGTCTCTTTCAGTTTGTGTGGCCATGGACAGGTACTTAACCTTTGGACCTGTTTTTCTTATCAGAGAAATAGAAATCACAGACTTCCCGCCACAGGAAGTGGCGAGGGTGGAAATAAGCTATCTTGTACAAGTTTCATGGGCCCTGCTTTGGCACACAGGGCAGGCTAGTAGACACTCAGTAGTTCCCAGTGGTCACCCTCTTATAGCACCCATGGAAAACATTGCTTCATGGCATTTTCAGAGTAAAAGCCCATAGCCAGGGCCAGTGTTCCACAGCTTTTTCTTAGTTTTGTTTTACCATGGAGCTCTGACTTTACTTACTTAGTTTTGTGATACTAGGAACTGAACCTAGAGTAACTGAATGTAGCTAGGCAAATGTGCTACCACTGAATTGGATCTTGGAACTTTTTAGATTTTTTTTTTTCTTGTTTTGAGATAGAGACTCACCAAATTGACCAGACAGGCCTTGAACTGTGTAATTCCTGCATCAGCTCCCCCCAGGAGCTGGGATTATAGGCTCAGTGTGACCGGGCCTGGCTGACACTGCTTCATTTAAACCCTGTTTTATCAGAAGAACTGTGTCAGGAACTTAGGATCCTGACATGGGGGGGGGAGTCAGATTTGCTTGTCCTGGGCTCTGTGTCTGTGGGAGATAAATCATGCAGCTAGTGTCACCCTGTGGGAGCATGGTGACATCTGTGAAATCCAGGGGGAGAGGCTGGAATTGTGGAAGATAGGTAAGTGGGTAGATAGATAGATAGATAGATAGATAGATAGACAGACAGACAGACAGATAGTTAGATGATTGATAGATAGATTTGAACTAGGAGATATAGAATCAAATCAACTCCCCAGATAGTAAAGAGGTGGGTAAGGACACAGACCCATTTCTGGTCTTACGGAAACCAAGGACCTAGGACTTAAACAGGGTTATTTGTGTTTTATCAATGACAGGAATAATGACCAATAATTCTAGAGCCACTAGTATGGATCAGGGCCACACAAGGCATTTTATCTATTTCTTGTGGTGCTTAAGTTTGACCCTAAAGACCTTGTATATGCTGGATAAGTGCTCTACCCCTGTGATTCATTCACATTTATTAATTTTTTTGAGATTGGGGAGTCTTACTATGTAGCTCTGTCTGGCCTAGCACTCTCTATGTAGACCACAGAGAAATCCTTCCTCTGCCTCTGCCTTCCAAGTGCTGGGATTAAAGGTGTGCACCATCATGCCTTAGCCTTCCTTTGCTCTTTGGAGACAGCCTTTCTCTGTATAGCTCAGGCTGGTCTTGCTATTCCCCATGCTAAGAAAGCAGCGATAGGAATGGGCATGACTGCCAAGAGGTATTTGGTGAGCAGAAACAGCAAGAGTGTCATCCAAGGGAGATGTGGCAATGGAGGAGAAAGGAAGGCCAAAGTGACTGCCCTCTCTAGCGTAGCTAATTGGTGAGATGGCGTGGTTAATCGAGGTGGGTAGCACAAGGATGGGTTTGTGCATAGCAAGAGCATGTCCGGGTGCTTCAGGGGGGTCACTGTATGATACAACTTTGCCAAGCCTGGTGGGGACGAAATCTTGTACACCTTCTGTGCCTCTCAAGCTTTGTTCCAGTTGTTCCTCCATCTGGAAGTTCTTTCTAGAGCTTCTCTGACCATTGACAGCCTGATCATTCATTAAGTCAGAGTCAGTGCAAGGTTCAACCACTCTGTGATGCTGCACCGCCCCCCACTACCCTGTGCTCCCCCATTTCTTTGTCTGGCCCCTTATTGTATTTTACTTTGTTCTGCCAGAAACTATGTCTCTTCTTTTAGCTTCGGAGTCCATTACACACAGTCTTCCTGGGTTAGGGATTTAATTGGAGGTTCAGAAAGTGATTTGAATTGAGCCGCACTGAAAAGTCTATTGTTTGGCTGCCTGGAGAGAAGAGACTGGGCTTCCCTGAGTCCATTACTCCTATGTCTGTCTTCCTTCCCTCCATTACATGGGTCTTTCTCTGTTGTGCTCAGACTAAGTGGAGCATCCCCCTTCCTGGGAGACACGAAGCAAGAAACACTGGCAAACATCACAGCTGTGAGTTATGACTTTGATGAGGAATTCTTCAGCCAGACAAGTGAACTGGCCAAGGACTTCATTCGGAAGCTTCTTGTGAAGGAGACGCGGTAAGTGGATAAAGACTGTGGCCTCTCCGGTAGTCATTCTTTCCCGTTGCCGTTCACAGACATGCCAGTCTGGCCTCACTTTGCCATCTGTGCCATGTAGCCCAGTCTGGTCAGGTGCTGAGAAGTGTCGCTGGCCATGCCTTGCCATTCATCTTGTCGTTTTGGTTTTTGCCCTCATCTCCTCCTGCCCAAACACAAACGACTCTGCCTACAGGAGCGTACACATTTGTGTGCTTGCACGCATGTGTATTTGAAAATCAGGGGTTATTGTGTGCAGTCTTCCATATATGAATGCAGGACTCTGGTTTGAAAGGTAGACAGTGAGCGTTTTGAGGCCTGTTCAAGTTGAAAGCGGAGGCAGGCAGGCCCAGAGAGGTCAGGATAGCAGTAGAACATGAGACATGCCAATCCTACCTCTGCTTAGGACCTGGACCACTTTCCCTCGAGTACTGGAAATGCAGGCAGTTTTCAGCCATCTCTGCAGCTGCACCGCCTTGATGGTACAGCCAGCCAATGTCAGACAGGTGAGACGCAGACCGCTGCTCCCATCACTTGTCCTCATGGAACTTTTGTCTCCTCATCCTCATTGCAGGAAACGGCTTACCATCCAAGAGGCTCTCAGACATCCCTGGATCATGGTAAGGGCACGGTAATGAATGCCAGTGAGCAGGAGGTTCCTCTTCTGCCACCAGAGCTGGCTGTGGCAGTCAAATACAAATGGCTGTTAAGAGGCCTTTGCTTGATCTTGGGCGCTGGTCAAGGGTCCTCACAAGGTCTATGCTTGTTCAAATGGGGTTATGCTGGCTCAGTACTAGAGTACTTGCCTCGTTTGCATGAGGCTGTGAGTTCTATCCAAAGCACTGCAAAACCAAACAAAAAATAAATAAATAAAATAGGGTTATGCTACCGTAAGTTTGTATTTCATGGGTCCAGAGAGCCAATGAAACCATCATAGACCTCAGCTAAGATACTTTTCCCTCAGAGGCCAGCTTACAAAATGGTCTTTATTGTAAATCATGTGGCAAACAGATCTATGGCCACTAAAACCTTGACTGTAATCAGGTCCCTTTCCTTCTCTGCCTTCTGGGCTCTCATTAAGGGATTAATGCAAGTCTGTCATGTAGCTTCTTTAGGCTCTGTGTGGCCTCAGGGATTGAGTCCTGAGACAGAGGCCTGGTGGGGAAGAAAAGCCAGATCTATTAGGACAGCTCTGTTCCCTGTTAGAGGGTCAAGGCAGAAAACAAATCCCACAGTCCACCTGCAGTGGAGGGCTGACTGGTTTTTACAGTTTGTCATGAAAAGCACATTGGGAGTAATAGGGGCACTCAGAGCAAGGCTCCAGCCCTGGTTCTATGGGCTGAACACTCTGCAGACTGCCTTCACTGTTCACGGAGAAGGCCCATAGGAATGAGCTAAGTGTGGATGTAGAAGAAGGATAGAGACCTATAGACAATAAATTCCTTTACTCCCTAAAGGATGGAGAAGGCCAATAATCTTCCAAGTTGGGATGTTCCCAGAGTCCAAAGCTAGAGAGCCTCTTGGGCTCCTTGCTGCTGAGCATGCTGGCTTTTGCCAAGGCTGCCTTGTCCTGAAAGGCAGATACCCGCAGCCTTCCTCTGCCTGCCATAGCCTGCATGTTTCGGCCCTTGAATGGATGTTCGCAGAGCCCTAGTTGCAGCCTACTTGTCTGTGTGAGCTACTATTAAATTCTACGTGTGTGGTAACCCTCTCTAATGGCCATGGAGCACAGTTAGCATGCAGGCAGCACCCCCACATTCCTTAACGTTTCTTATGGCCTTGTTGGGGGCGGCAGTGCTAGCCTCACCCTGGCCCTCCCTCCTGTGTCTTGACATAAGCAGTGAATGCCAAAGAAGCCATGTGTGTGCCTTCCGCCTGCAGCTTGGACTGCCCTGTGGAGCACATATCATGTTAATATTCTGGTTCTTCTGTCTGAACACTTACTAGTCAAAAGGAGAAGCCAGAGCCCCTGAACAGTGGAAGACACAACCTGCCCAGCTGAAGACCAAACGCCTGAGAGAGTACACCCTCAAATGCCACTCAAGCATGCCCCCCAACAACACTTATGTCAACTTCGAGCGCTTTGCCTGTGTGGTAGAGGATGTGGCTCAGGTGGATAAGGGATGCCTGGCCCTAGCAGCAGCCCATGACACCCTGCAGGATGATGTGGAGGCCTTGCTGGCTATCTACAACGAGAAGGATGCCTGGTACCGAGAGGAGAACGAGAAGGCCCGCCATAACCTGTCCCAGCTCAAGTATGAGTTCCGCAAGGTGAAGTCCCTGAAGAAGCTCCTGAGAGAGGACATCCGGAGCACAGGGGCCGGCCTTGGAGGTGTGGCCAGGAAGCTAGACCATCTGCAGGGGCAGTTTGAGGCTTTGAGGCAGCAGCTCTCAGCAGACATCCAGTGGATGCAGGAGCTGCTGGGCAGTGTTCAGCTGGAGAGCGGGAACACGGATGGCTACGGTGTGGGCTCCATGTTCCACCAGAACACCAGTGAGTCCCTGTCGGAGCTGCTCAACAGATCACACGTGGAGGACATCCTGGGCGGCCTGAAGCTCTGAGCACGAGTCTAGTCACAGTGCATTCCCAGGGCTTTGCAGAAGCATGCTGTCTTCCACTCTGCTGGGGTATCCCACCGGATTTATCCCGCAGAGTGTGTGTGTTCAGCCCTTCTACTCCCTCTAGAGCTCCTCAGCCACTGGGGTGCTAGTTAGTGGCTTACTCTGCACCCCCCTCACCAGCCTGACGACAAAGCAGCTGAGCCATGGAAATAATTAGAAAATGTATCCCCTCAGCATGCTCTTCTCGGGGGGGGGGGGCTAATCTGCCGGCCCCAGGAGATTCTTGATAACTGAGTAATGAGGACTGATTGGCACACCTCTCATGTTCCGTCTGCGTGCCTTGGTGCAGAGCTTGGTGATGATTGACATAACTAAGAATAACTTAGCTGGCAGGGTGCTTTCCGGTTACAGAGTTGGGGTTTTAAAATATACAGAGAAAATACTTTCTTTTAAATTGTCTTCTCACTCATCAACTCCTCATGTCTGTGACCTTATTGGATCCCCAAAGAACTCTCTGAGATAAGAGGCTGGGATATAGCTCAGCTTTTAGAGGGTTCGCCTAGCATCCACAGAGCTCTGGGTTCGATCCCCAGCACAGCATAAACTGAGCTTGGTAGTACACACCTCTATCTGGTACTTAAGAGGAGGAGCCAAAGGGATTGGGAGTTCAGAGTTATCTCTGGCTATGCATTGCTTTTGAGTTAAAGGCCAGCCTGGGCTATCTGGGCCCCTGTCTCGAGGTGGGGAGGGGCTCTGTGAGCTGAGAAGGTGAACGGCAGTGTTATTACTATTCATTCCTGTCACCAATGAGGAAATTGACTCAGAGGAGGGGAATGAGTTAGGATCATACATAGTCTGTTGGAAACCCAGGGTGCCCGTGTTTGAGGTGAGGTATGGAGGAAGTCTAGTGAAGCTTAGCTGTAATGTCCACCATACTACTAATGTTCTGATCCCAGAGGCTAAGGTTCAATTTTGCATCGAGAATGAAGACAGGAGGCTCACAAGGAAGTGTTAACTCATATTCTAGGCCAGTGGACCCTGAAGTCTGGAAACCCAGAGAGCTTTGGGAAGCACAGTGCTCACTGGGCTCTTCTAGCTCCAAAGCTTTGAGCATCATGAGGTTTGTGTGATGTCACCTCCCTTTCCTAGGAGGAAGGCCCATCAATACTTTCATGCAGACAGCACATAGAATACGGACCCTGGACCCACGTGGTGCTAGGAGCTTGGGATTGGGGGCAAATTGTATTATTTCAAGTACCTCCACAGCCTCGCAGAACATCCATCATAATTGTCTTAAATATTATTCTCAGGTTAGCGAGAAAACAAAGAAAGAATGTGACTTGTCTCGGGTCACCACGTTAGTAATAAACGTGGGAGCCTTCTGATAAGTCTGTAGCTCTCTCTGATTCTCTTAACTGCTTGGATTCCAGGAACTTATGCCGTGCTTGAGAAGTGGGTGTTACCCAAGTTTATCCATCCATTCAGACATAGTTAGCAGGCACCTGCCAGTCTCCAAATAATTGACTTGAGTCTGGGGACGTGGTGTTAAGTGATATCAAACTGGTTTTCTACTTCCTTGGAGTTCTCAGTTGAGTGATAGGTTCTAGCATTAATCAAGAATTATATAACTGCAAAACTCAGCTGGTCCCTATGCTATGAAAGAGAGGTAGGCAGCACTGCAAGGCCTACGGTGAGAGAGAGAGAGAGAGAGAGAGAGAGAGAGAGAGAGAGAGAGAGGGAGGGAGGGAGGG